GAACAGAACATCCCATTCCCTCCCAGAGCATCCCATTCCCTCCCAGAGCATCCCATTCCCTCTCACATCATCCCATCCCCTCCCATTCCATTCCTTCTCAGAGCATCCCATTCCCTCCCAGTGCATCCCATTCCCTCCCAGAGCATCCCATTCCTTCCCAGAGCATCCCCTCCCAGAGCATCCCATTCCCTCCCACACTGTCCCTTCACAAGTGACCAAACTCTCCCCTGACCACCCAACTCTCCCTTCACTCCCCACCACGTTCCTTTGTTAAAACCAAACATGACATGAGGTTTGTGAAGGAGGTTCAGCTCTACCTGTGCTTTGATGCCATCAGAGGATTTAAGGGATAAATCACAGCATCCTTCACTGCTGGAGAGCAGTGACCAATGGATGATCACAACTCACCCCTTATCTGTGTCACTGACTCAATTTCATGTTTAAAACCTAAAAACAACCACCACCAAGCCATAAAACCCCTCCAGTGTCTCCCAGAAATCAATGGAGACTAATGGAAGGTTTGCTCAGGCGGAAGGGAAATGGGATTCATCCAGGCTGTTGGTTATTGAGGATTTTTTTCCAGGAAAATAACTTTTGCAGCCACAGTTTGAGGTGCCAGGGGCAGGTAGCACAGGGCAGTGCCTGCTCCAGGTGCCCAGCCTGGTTTAGGGCACTGCCACTCAGGCTGCTGTGATCTGAATGACTGAACTAAGGAGTAAAAGCATCCTGGATTTGCAGCCCTTGAGAAATGGGACAGGAAGCACAGGGATGCTCCATCCCCATGGGAACTCTCCCCAGGGACACTGCAGTCAGCTGTCACAGCTCACTTCCAGCACAGCACAAAACAGCTCAGTTAAACATCAAACCTCAGCATCAATAATCTCCTGAAGCCTAAACAAAGAGGCTCCAAAACACCACAGCTCTGCCAGAGCTTCCCCTCCCTGTGCTGAAAAAGGCCCAGGGAGAAGCTGAGACAGGGGAAAGCCAGTAATAACAATAATGACCCAATCCATAATCTGAATCTCTAATCCTCTTTCCCCAGCCAGTTGGGGGTCCATCCTCGCCAGGAAAAGGATGAAGATTAAGCATTTTTAAATCAGGTCATGGCAAGGGAAGTGTTGGCCCTGTGCAAACCTGCTGGGGGTGGTAGGTGCAAGGCTGGGCAGGGGGGACATGGGGCTGGTGCTGCCCAAAGCACCAGGGTGGAGTCACACAGAATGGGTTGGGTTGGAAGGACCTTAAGGGTCATCCAGTCCCATCCTGCCATGGGCAGGGACAACTTCCACCAGCACAGGTTGCTCCAAGTCCCATCCAACCTGGCCTGGAACACTCTCAGGGATGGAGCAGCCACAGCTTCTCTGGGCAACCTGTGCCAGTGTCTCAGCACCTCACAGGGAATAACTTTTTTTCATATCCAACCTACATTTCCCCTCCAGTTTGAACCCGTTACCCCTTGTCCTGTCCCTGCAGTTCCTAACACAGAGTCCCTCTCCAGCTCCTTGTAGGCCCGTCAGCGAGTGAGAAGGTGCTCTTAGGTCTCCACACAACCTTCTCTTCTCCAGGCTGAACAGCCCCAACTCCCTCAGCCTGTGCTCACAGGGAGATGCTCCAGTGCTCTTAGCACCTTGGTGGCCTCCTCTGCACTTGCTCCAACAGTTCCATGTCCTTTAATCTAACCTATCACTACACAACGATGCTCCTTCCTCACTGTC